TTACCTTATAATATTTTTATTATTATAATAATTAAATCACGAAACAAATACTCGTACACTGTGTACAAGTTAGTACAGAATTATAGCTATAAAGTGAAGGCATACGAAAGGAATATTTTTCTACAGTTATCCCTAGTAACAGGTGACGGGCTAGAGAAAACGTAATTCTTCCGACACTTCTACAAACCGTTTGGTAAACATCTCATATATATTTGTATAAATTTTTATACTGTGGGTGCATGTATCATGTTTGTGTGTTACATAATGTGTTTCTTATATAATTTTGAAAAAAATATCATATAGATAGATTAAGGGAAATGTCTATATTAACGTAATATGCAACATTAATGCGCCCAAGAGATTATTATTATTATTGCATCAAGAGTAGAGAGACTCTTAGTGATTTTAATGTGTACCTACATGCCAGCACAGTGTGTAAGTTTATTTAGGTACAGGTGTACACAAGTTTAATTATCAAGTACAATACATATAAAATATACAATAACTTTAAAACACTTGAAATTTTGGAAAGTTTCCAGACATAATAAGGAGATGTGCTCAGGGAGAATGTAAACAAACTCGGTGGGCCGCTGTGACCGTATTAGAAAGACAGGTGGGGTGAGCCGTATAGCGAGTTTTGGTCATAATTTGAAATGTCCGTATTAGCGGAACGCCGTAAAGCGGGGCCCTGCTGTATATGGAATAGGTGGTAAGTTACTAAATGCTGTAAGGAGTTTTTATGAGGATAGTGAGGCTCAGGTTAGGGTGTGTAGAAGAGAGGGAGAGTATTTCCCGGTAAAAGTAGGTCTTAGACAGGGATGTGTAATGTCACCATGGTTGTTTAATCCGTAAACAGTCCAAGCAGATTTACATATTTTCAAATATAACAAAAAAAAAAAAAAAAAGATCTACTTTTCTTACATACTTTCAAATGTTGAAAAAGCGTATATATACGTTTGGACCGTTTACGGGTTAATATATTTTTAAATGGGGTTGTAAAAGAAGTAAATGCTAGGGTGTTAGGGAGAGGGGTGGGATTAAATTATGGGGAAGCAAATACAAAATGGGTATTGAGAGTTACTTTTTGCTGATGATACTGTGCGTGTGGGGGAGACTAAAGAAAAATTGCAAAGGTTAGTGGATGAGTTTAGGAATGTGCGTAAAGGTAGAAAGTTGAAAGTGAACATAGAAAAGAGTAAGGCAATGAGGGTATCAAATGATTTAGATAAAGAAAAGTTGGATATCAAATTGGGTAGTAGTAGTATGGAGGAAGTGAATGTTTTCAGATATTTGGGAGTTGACGTGTCAGCGGATGGATTTATGAAGGATGAGGTTAATCATAGAATTGATGAAGAAAAAAAGGTCAGTGGTGCGTTGAGGTATATGTGGAGGCAAAGAAGGAAATGTGTGAAAGTATTGGTCATGAAGCTTGGGTTGTACATGCTGCAGCGAGGAGGCAGTGATGTCCTGTCTAAGGGCAATGTGTGGTGTGAACATTATGCAGAAAACTCGGAGTGTGGAAATTAGGAGAAGAGGGGTTGTTGAGATGGTTTGGTCATCTAGAGAGAATGGATCAAAGTAGAATAACATGGAGAGTGTATAAATCTAGGAGAAGGAAGGCAGGGTAGGGGTCGTCGTCAAAAAGGTTGGAAGGGGTAAAGGAGGTTTTGTGGGCGAGGGGCTTGGACTTCCAGCGAGTGTGTCATATACAGTGGACCCCTGCCTTACGATATTATTTCATTCCAGAGGTCTGTTCGGGTGCCGTTATAGACCGAATTTGTTCCCATAAGGAATATTGTGAATTAGATTAGTCCGTTTCAGACCCCCAAAAATACACTTACATAATTGGTCGAGTTGGGAGCTGATCGTAAGGCGGGGGTCCACTGTATATATATAAATGGAGACGAATGGTATTTGGGACCTGACGAGCTGTTGGAGTGTGAGCAGGGTAATATTTAGTGAAGGGACTCGGGGAAACCGGTTATTTTTATATAGCCGGACTTGAGTCCTGGAAATGGGAAGTACAATGTCTGCACTTTAAAGGAGGGGTTTGGGATATTGGCAGTTTGGAGGGATATGTTGTGTATCTTTATACATATATGCTTCTAAACTGTTGTATTCTGAGCACCTCTGCAAAAACAGTGATTATGTGTGAGTGAGGTGAAAGTGTTGAATGATGAAAATATTTTTTTTGGGGGTCACCCTGCCTCGGTGGGAGACAGCCGACTTGTTGAAAAAAAAAAAAATCAACAAGATGAAAATTAGACATCTGGGTATCTTTATTGTAGATGTTTCACAATCCAGTGGCTTTATCAATACAAGTGTTGCACATGTCTAATTTTCATTTTGTCTGTACATGAATGGTATACAATACCATCTCTATATACTGATTTAGATAATAATGATACATGAATAAATGGCAGTATGAAGGGTTGTTGAGGTGGTTCGGACATGTAGAGAGAATGGAGCGAAACAGAATGACTTCAAGAGTGTATCAGTCTGTAGTGGAAGGAAGGCGGGGTAGGGGTCGGCCTAGGAAGGGTTGGAGGGAGGGGGTAAAGGAGGTTTTGTGTGCGAGGGGCTTGGACTTCCAGCAGGCATGCGTGAGCGTGTTTGATAGGAGTGAATGGAGACAAATGGTTTTTAATACTTGACGTGCTGTTGGAGTGTGAGCAAAGTAACATTTATGAAGGGATTCAGGGAAACCGGCAGGCCGGACTTGAGTCCTGGAGATGGGAAGTACAGTGCCTGCACTCTGAAGGAGGGGTGTTAATGTTGCAGTTTAAAAACTGTAGTGTAAAGCACCCTTCTGGCAAGACAGTGATGGTGAAAGTTTTTCTTTTTCGGGCCACCCTGCCTTGGTGGGAATCGGCCAGTGTGATAATAAAAAAAAAAAAAAAATAAATGAAGATTCAAAAAGGTAAAGACAACCAAAGGCTTAACCCCTTGACTGTCGCAATCTCCAATCCTGAGGGGCCTCCTGGTGTCGCAAAATTTCCAAAAAATTATTTTTCTTATGAAATGACAGAGAATCTTTTCCCGAACTGACGAAACTACGCTCTCGTGAAGTTAGCGACATCGGTGATTTCGCCCACTTTGAGCCCTATTTTTGGCTAATTCCATTGCTCCAGTCGATCAGACTCATAGCTATGTATTTAGAACTCCATTTTTTCTATTGGTCGAGTACAAGAAATTGCCCGTTTATGAATTTCAACTACCCAATAACATGGTCAGAAAATTGCAATTTGGCCAATTTCACAAAAATTAAAAAATATGACAATTTCAAAATAAGGTTCCGAATGAACAATGCAGACATTCGTGGCTCTAAAATAACTATTCAAACAAAAAATAGAAGATTTACTGTTATGCAGACTACTGCAGTATTGTAATAATTGTACAGATAATGTCAACCCATTCATGACTGCATATTAGAATGGCTACTTGGACATTTATTGGAAAATGACATTTGTTTACTTTTGAACATCGGCAAAAATCAAACATTTCCCCTACTTTGAGCTCCATTTCAAGGTCCTTTTCATAGTAAAACCAGTGGAACGTACGAACCACAGCCCGGCTGATCCAGCACCGTCTTTAGGTATCTGTCCAGCTCCCTCTTGAAGACAACCAGGGGTCTTCCCGTAATGCCCCTTATTGCTGGTGGGAGGCTGTTGAACAATATTGGGCCCCGGACACTTATTGTGTTTTCTCTTAGAGTACCAGTTACGCCCCTACTTTTCACTGGGGGTATGTTGCATCACCTGCCAAGTCTTTTGCTTTTGTATGGAGTGATTGCTGTGTGCATATTAGGGACCAGTCCCTCCAGAATCTTCCAGGTGTAGATTACGATATATCTCTCTCGCCTGCGCTCTAGTGAGTACAAGTCAAGTGCTTCCAGGCGCTCCCAGTAGTTAAGGTGTTTGATGGAACTTATACGTGCAGTAAAGGTTCTCTGTACATTCTCTAGCTCTGCAATTTCACCTGCCTTGAATGGGGATGCTAATGTACAGCAATATTCCAGCCTAGAAAGAATGATTTAAAAAGGATCATCATTGGCTTAGCATCTCTTGTATAGTAATATAAAATAACATTTTTACTTACCTTTATTGAAGATTGGTGATGGCATCTGGAGAGAGGGAGTTGGGGTTATTGTTTGGAAGGAGAATCCCCCTCCATGAGAACTTCCAGTATCAAAGCCCGCTCTGGGGTTGCTTCCCTTCTCTGTATTTTAATGCCACTAGGACCAGCTTGAGAGTCATTGGACCCCAGTCTCACAAAATAACTGTCCACAGTCCTCTGTACATCCTGGCAAGCTCAACAAGTCTCACTCCAATACTTCTGTATTATTTCCTTCTTCACATCTATGTTGTTTCTCACTTTCTTTACCACAGAGGTACCGCTAGCAAGTTTCTTTGGGCCCATGGCAGCTTATTTCACAGCCCCACAAGCACTAAACACAATTAAATAATCGTAAAATGTGTGAATGAGATCGCAGGTTAGTGTTCACTCTAAACAAAGCTAGACTGCTCACAGCACCTGCGTGGGGACGTGGACAGGTCCCATACCCAGCGGTCCGAAAATAGGGGCACGTTCGATAATAGGGACACAGTTTGTCCGAAAAAATGGTCTTATTTTCGAAACGTTCGATATGTGATACGTTCGATTTTTGAGGTTCCACTGTATGTGGATTGGATGTGTAGAATGGAAGAATTACTAGAATTTCGAGAAGTAAAAACATAATAGTGTGATGAATAGGCATCCACAAGAGAGCATGAAGGAGTATCCATTAATAGTATCCATTAATTTACTACTATTTCCTAATGCAATAGATTGTCTACTTTGATCTGTTTTACCTTGATTTTGTATTTAAGATTAAAAGAAAAATTTAACACTGAAAACTAGCTTGCACATTTAAATAATTAGCGAGTTCATTTCAGTTTCCTTAATTATACTTTCTTAAGCGGTATATATTACTGTATTTGACCATTTCTACTCCTTTATAGGTATAGACGCTTTCTCCGCCTCTTTCAAGAAGGAGTGTATCCAATAGCAACACCTGTTCCCGACCCTGAAGAGGGTTACTGCCGCAAGGATCGCCAGCCCCCTGGATGTGTGGTGCCAGAACTTTTATTCTTTTGCCGGAGAGTGTACGATTACCGCATAAAGAGGCTATTGAAGAACCCTTACTGAGGGTGTGCTAGGGGGGAGGGGCCAGTGTGTGGGGAAGAGGATAAGCAAAATGTGTGGAGTGAAACCAGTGAGGAAATTTTTAATAATACAGACACTGACGATGAAGCATCGAGAGTTTTTGAACTAAACGCGCTCTTTTTCTTGTGGCCAATAAACTGAGAAATTCTGGATGTTTCAAGGCATTCCAGACAAATTTATTTATCTTAAGATTAAACTAGTAAAGAATTTTTAAGTACTGAGGATATATACATACATATATATATATATATATAAATATTTATATATTAGTATTTATAAACTAAATATATTATCAGAATGAATAACAGAACTGAAAATCAAACGAGTGAAGAACAATGAAAAACTAAGTTATGTTATCCTTAAGATTACTGCCAGTGTTTCTCTTAGTTCTATAATTAGTGTAACAATAAGTATTTTGTCATATGGTAAGCCAATAGGTCTGTACAAAACACAAATTTTTATATGTATGCATTGCTTGTGGTAAGCATCAATTTAATGTCACCAGTATGATGTATTAGTTAAGATTTATTTATGAAGAAAAGTTATACTTAAGGATGAATTCATTGTTGCCAGTTTTAAACTATTTCCTTGCTTAATGGATAAATTAAGCAAGTTACTTTTTTAATTAATAACAAGTTATTTTCTGAACCAAAGTTTCAAACACTCTTTGATCTATTCATATTCCTTTGATTCTTGTCTTAGCCAAATATTGTCTGTGTTCGAGGGAAATTAGATTTATACTTACCTCTTACTGCTGTTTTTCTCAGCAAGGGGGGGTGGGTGCCTTGATGCTGCTGGAGGGCAGTTGATCCAAGGAATTGGAGCTACCTTCCCCTTCCTTGGAGCAAATCTGATTGCCTCTCATTCCCTAGGAGCTATACGACCCATATGGGTTTAGCGCTTCCTCGTGAATATATTATCCTGTAATTAGAGATTTTTTTAATTTTTAAGTGATCTGTAAGAAAAGTCAGAAGAGTTAAGTGTAAATTTTTTAGTCTCTGAAGACAGGTAACATACTTGAAAGTCAAATAAAGTGAGTTTATTATAGTGAAAAAAATAGAGGATGGATGTGGGTCTAGTTTTTATTAAGAATGTGATTTCTTTTTTGAGTACGAAAAATTTGTAGGGAGCTGCTCTTGTTTTATAGTCATTTGACACATATCTCACAAAGTATATGGCACAGATTATGCAGTAATAAGTACAGGCCAGTAAACAAGTATATGGTTGAGCTCTAGTTAGCAACGGAGACAATCTATATTGCCTCTTTTTCGTTGTGTGTGAGAACGATAGTCATAATTAAATTCGCACATTTCTGTAACCTGACATGTTGCTGCATCATCTGATTCTTTGCACTTTCAATCATTAGTGAGAAGAGTAAAATATTAACTGTGACTTAGTATATTTCATTTGTTTTAGCACATTTTTGTTATACTTCAGATCAAATTTAATTTTGTTGACAATCATTACATTATAATAAGATTTGTTAATTATAAATTCTAACAATCTCATTTGTATGTATTTCTTAAGTTTACCAATTGTTAGCATAAATACATTTCATCCACATGCAAGATGATGTGCAATGAACTTTTATTGTGTCCAGAGACTGAAAATGCATTTGCACTTCATTCAATTTTTCTAATAATGGTTGAACCCCAAAAAACTACTAAAATTTCTAAAAAGAAAAGCTACTCAAACAGCATCTTTAACTTGTATGACCAGAGCTTTGGTAAGATGGGAAAGGAAGAAGGATGGGTAGGGGAGGTGGGATAATAAAGGTAAGTGGCCCAACCACTTTGCTGCATTTTAATGTGTGTGTGTGTGTGTAGTGTCATTAATGAAAATTTCACTGAGAGGGGCATAACACTTACCTGTCAGTTTTACACAGTTACAAGAAATATATAACTGCATGACACTGAGTTGGCAAGAGATACAGTGGAACCCCAGATTTTGTCCAGTGCGGATATCATACAATTCGGATTTTGACCACTTTTTTTGGGTGAAATTTTACGCCAGGTTTCATACCTTCTGCTCAGAAATCGTCCGTATCAGATGCGGCCACTCACATGTATATGACTCAGTCTGCCTCTGTCACTTGTTCAGTGAGCAATACTTCGCGCATTCATCCGAAACATTGGTAGTAGACGGTGGTAGTCAGGAGATAGTGTTGTGGAGACAATAATTTGTGAAAAGGCAAGACAGTTGCATATGGATCTCAAAGAATATGCCAACAAGTCTTCAATAAAGGTAAAAGTGATTTAAATGTTCATTTATCCATTGAAATTAGTGCTTTATATTTATTTCTCATTGTTTTCTGTATGTATATAGTTATTCTCTATAAAATGCATTTTTGGTTAATATTTTTGGGTGTCTGCAACGGATTAAAAGGATTTACATTATTTCTTATGGGAAATATTACTTTGGTTTTCATCCATTTCGGAATTCGACCAACCTTTTCTTTCTTTCTTTGCTATTTCAGGGTGTAGGTTAGAAATGACGATAGCAAGGCGATTGATATAAATCGAGTACTACCTGGAGATGCTGGCCAGTTCAGCTGCTTCAAAGGTGGTGTCCTGCCATAGTAGGTTTGCTGATATTACAAGGTTAGATGTAACAGTTGATAAGTTATAAATTGGGGTAGTGTTATCTGTAATAGACAGAAAAGGTCTCTGGTGTTACACATTCATCTACATCTTGAATTTTGCATTTTTGCTGCATACAGAGTTGCTGTCTGAGTGTTCCTTCCTGTCTTCCTACTCGACTCATCAAGGGAAGGAGTGTAGTTATGAGTGGTTGTCTGGGTACTGACTATTTCCTCTTCCTCACTACTGTTGGTGACATTAACTGATGCTACAGTTAATCTGACAACCGAGGCTTGGTATTCCCAGTTTCATTATTATTATTATTATTATAATCAAAAAGAAGCGCTAAGCCACAAGGACATTCCCAGTTTCAGGTGACATATGCACAACACCTACTATAGGAGACAGTGGGGGCTCCATGTGGAAATGTTTAAGTCCACTTGGAGTATCCTTGGAAACTATTTGTACTTCAACAGTGGGAGAATGTGCATCATTGTCCAGCGCAAGTTCAGGGGGCAGGTATTGACACAGTGGTCTGTGGTGTTGTTTTGACTATGTCTGGGCCTTGGTTATGTGATGAATTTTGCATATGTAAGGTTGTGGAGGAGGAGGGCACATACTTCCTGTCCTGAGGGGACTGGTTCATAATTAAGTCCACATTTTCTGGGATAATGAGGGGCTTAATCCCATTAGCTGCTAACAAATCACTGAAGCTTAGAGGAGCAGAGTTTAACATTGCTACCTGCTATTTCCTTGGCCAACATAAACATCAGTGTACCTCTCATAACATCTACCTCTGAGGAACCAGAAGACATAGGGAATGATGATGGTCCTTGTGCTTGTATATTGGGGGGAAGGGAAGGGTGGGGCACTCCAGGGGGGCAGGAGTCCCACCGGATCCAGGTAGATTTGGGAACGAAGCCTGGGACATTGTTGGAGGTGCTTGGGGAGTGATTCTCTTAGTGTTTGTCTCTTAGCATCCAGAAGTTTCTGTATTGCAGATTTCCTAACAGGGCAGCTAGGAGAGATAGCATGATGTTTCCCATGACAAAGGGCACATTTGGGGTTGTTTCTGTTGGTGAAGTCCTTGAAAACATGTTCATCAGAGCAAATACTGCAAATAGTTTTGTGGCTGCTGCATTTATTAGTGGTATGATCAAACACCTGGTTCCAAAGCATTTCGTACCATGCTGACATGATTTTGGCTTCTTCCAGCATTTGAAGGATTAATTTTAGTGTTTGTTGGGAGTTGGAACTTCTGGTAAACTTGTGTGTCTTAAGTATCTTGAACTCAGAATTTTCTTGGTTAATTTCTTCAACAAGGTCATCAGCAGGGCATCTTCAACAAGGTCATCAGCAGGGCAGTCTCTCATGAAACTGTTAATTCGTGCCACAAAAACTACGTTGAGCCTTGTAACTCGTCAGGTGGAATGGGCATGATACCCACTTTATTTAAATTGTCAAGAATGTCATAAGAACATAAGAAAGAAGAAACACTGCAGCAGGCCTACTGGCCCATGCGGGGCAGGTCCGTGTCAACCCCAGCTTAGACCAATGGCCCACCCAGTCAGGTCATCTCCACTTAAGGAAGGAGCATGGCATCTGACCCAGTAGCACCAGCTGATCAGGTCCAACTCACACCCACTCAAGTGGTTATTTAACCTATTTTTAAACTACACAACATCTTAGCTTCTATAACGGTACTCAGGAGTTTGCTCCAATCATCCACAACTCTATTACCAAACCAGTGCTTTCCTATATCCTTCCTGAATCTGAATTTTTCCAGCTTAAAACCATTGCTGTGAGTCCTGTCTGGGCTAGATATTTTTAGCATGCTATTTACATCCCCTTGATTCATTCCTGTTTTCCATTTATACACCTCAATCATATCCCCCCCCCCTAATTCTACGCTTTTCGAGAGAGTGCAGATTCAGGGCCCTCAGCCTATCCTCATAGGGAATATTTTTGACACATAGGATCAACTTTGTCAGCCTCCTCTGTACGTTTTCCAGTGCATTTATATCTATTCTGTAATACGGTGACCAGAACTGTGCAGCATAATCTAAATGAGGCCTAACCAAGGATATATAGAGTTGAAGAACAACCTGAGGATTTCTATTATTTATGCTTCTTGATATGAAACCAAGGATTCTGTTAGCTTTATTGCGAATGCTTATGCACTGTTGTCTTGGTTTCAGGTTACTGTTAACCAGAACTCCTAAATCCTTTTTGCAATCAGTAATATTAAGATCTACATTATTTAGTTTATATGTGGCATGGTTATTATCCTTTCCAACATTTAGAACTTTGCATTTGTCTATATTAAACTGCATCTGCTACTTCTCTGGCCATTGCATTAGCCTATTCAAATCATCCTGGAGTGCTCTAACGTCCTCCTTAGAATAAATTGGATGGCCTGTTTTGGTGTCATCAGCAAATCTGCTTATGACACTATTTATTCCCTCATCTATGTCGTTTTTGTAAATTGTGAACAACAAGGGGCCCAACACTGACCCCTGTGGAACACCGCTTGTGACGTGCCCCCATTCTGATTTCTCCCCATTTATGCAAACTCTGCTGCCTATTTGTCAACCATGTCTCTACCAAGGAAAAAATTTCTACTATTCCGTGTGTCGTAAGTTTCCTCAGTAGTCTCTGATGTGGAACTCTATCGAAAGCCTTATTAAAGTCCATATACACAATACCATATTCGATACCATGATCTACCTCCTCAGATACCTTAGTGAAAAAAGTTGGTTAATTCATAAGACAAGAAATTCCCTTTGTAAAACCATGTTGAGATTCATTAATCAATTTATGCCTTTCACGATGTCTATGAATTGCCTCGGTAATTATCGATTCCATAAATTTTCCCACTATGGAAGTAAGGCTTATTGGTCTATAATTAGAAGCTAAGGACCTGTCACCTGCCTTGTAAATAGGTATTACATTTGCCATTTTCCCCTTAGCAGGCACTATGCCAGTTTGTAGTGATATGTGTAAAAGATTAGCCAAAGGTTTGCTAAGTTCCTCTTTACATTCCTTTAAAACCCTTGCAAACAATTCATCAGGGCCTGGAGATTTGTTAGGTTTTAATTTCTCTATTTGTCTGAATACCATGTCACTAGTTACCCCAATCGTGCATAGTTTATCATCATCCTGTTCTACATAATTTATTATTTCTGGAATTTCACTAGTATCTTCCTGAGTAAAAATTGAGAGGAAGTAAGTATTGAATATTTCACACATTTCCTTATCACCGTCAGTGATCTGACATGAGTTAATATTAAGTGGGCCTATATTGTCCCTAATCTTACTTCTGTATACCTGAAAGAACCCTTTTGGGTTAGTCCTCAAATCCCTTGTGACCTTAGCCTCATAATCCCTTTTTGCTTTTCTTATTCCTCTTTTTAATTGAATATACTGATTTCTTAACTGCCCATTCCCTCTTTTAATATGCTTATATATATTCCTATCTTTTGACCAATGAGATGTTTTAATCCATTGTTCATCCATTTGGGATCATTTTTGTTAGATCTAATTTCCCTACTCGGAACAAAAGTTGTCTGGGCAGCTAGGACTATGCTCTGAAAAACGTCATATTGGCAACCAACATGACCAAACTGACCCATAGTCAGGTCATCCCAATTTAGCCCACCCAGGTAATTTCTCAGTGCCATGAAATCAACCAAGCGGAAGTCTAGGACAGAGACTTGATTGCAGTTATCTTGGTAATTCCATGATATATTGAATGTAAGTGATTTGTAATTGCTTTCCCCAAGCTCATCATTAACCTCAAGATTATTAATTAAATCATGCTTTAGTTGTTGGAGTAGCTCCTTTTCAGAGAAGAGTAATAGTACTGCACCAGTTTGGAAAATATCCAATGGTGCAACAGTTGTTTGTACAAGTACATGCAAGTATTTACCTTGTGGATTTTTGGTTGTCATTGACATGAATTCTTACTCGTAATTTCATCATGATGCCAAGTAAGGTACATCTGACTCAAAAAGTTTCCTTTAAAAAGAAAAACTTTCCTTTGTGTCCTAAATATCCTAAGTTATGAAGGTCAGCCCCTAAGATAGCCTATCCTTGAGGAGTGAGGGGGACAGGACCCAAGGCGAAGGTCA